GTGTGTGTGTGTGTGTGTGTGTGTGTGTGTGTGTGTGTGTGTGTGTGTGTGTGTGTGTATTTGTGTGTGTGTGTGTGTGTGTGTGTGTGTGTTCGTCTCTTTGCGTATTTATGAGTGTGTGAATATGAATTTCCGCCTTTAGTCATGCGCGCACGCGTGTGATGCCGTAGGCCTATACGTCATGTTTTGACCGAGCCATTGAATTCGAAAGCCATCCATACTCCGGCACCGAACTCTCCGATTTTGGGATAACGGCTGCTTATTATCCCGCCTTATTATCCGGCCGCCATGCATAATGGAGCGCACCCGTCCGGCCGTCTGCTTGGGCGAGAGCGAGCGCGGGGTGGGGGGTGGGGGGGGGGCTGAAGAAACCTTTGCCTTGGCCTTCTGATTCGAGTCGCGAGCCACTCACTGGTGCGGGGATTCGGACGCGGCATTCTCGAAGTCCCGAGTTGCTTCGCGTTCGGGCTAACGTTGGTTTTTAGTATAATTGTTATTTTTATTTATTTATTTATTTATTTATTTATTTTCATATTTGTCTATGTATTTATTTATTAGCCTTTTTTTTTTGGTTCAGCGGCATCACTGTTGTGTATATTAGATATCGTTCATGACATGACGAATCTAGTGTCTTTAATACATTTTTTCTCGCGTTTTGATTATTCATTCATCTATTTATATCTAGGTAAGATGGACATTGATAGATTGATAGATTGATAGATATAATTTGCTCTGTGACAAAGGTACTTGGCTGAGTGGGTAAAATGACAGTCGAAATGACAGCATTGTTCTCCAGTAGATAGAAGAAGTGACCCTTTAAGCTAAAAAGTAACAATGGAATGTTCAGCAGGTAATATAAATTAATTCTTGGGCATAAAATAGAAGCGGGTTTTTAATAAAAAGCAGAAAAGAGAAATAAACTCGGAAGCGGAAAATATCAAAGTAGTATAAATAAACTCTCCAAGCGGGTAATATAAACAATGCAAGTAGAAACTAGAAAGGAATTAATAGCAAGCAGCAGAAAAGAAATCATTTTAAGAGAAAAAAGGAGAAATGAACTTTAAGTAAAAAACAACAACAAAGAAACGAAAATTGTCCCTTTGGTAGAACATGATAACGAATTCTTCAAGTGAAAAGTCGACTTTTTGAACCCTCTGTCGGGGAGAGTAAAATTGGACGCGAAATTGAACCCTCCAACCTCGGCGTGTCCCTTACATGTGCGGAGAACTGAGTCGCTGTCGGGGTGTAGTAGCTTCGGCCGGTCGCGTGTCCTGTCCGTTCCGGCTGTTGTGTGCGTGTGTGTGTTCGTCCGTTCGTTCGTTCGTTTGTTGGTCCTTTCGGTCTTTCGTTGGTTCGGTCGTCCGTTAGTTCGTTCGTTAACTCGTACGTTTGTTCGTTCGATCGTTAGTTCGTTCGTTCGTTAGTCAGTTCGTTAGTTCGCCCGTCCGTTCGTTCGTTAATTCGTCCGTTCGTTCGTTCCATTTGTTCAGGCGTCCTTTCATTCGTATGTTCATCCACTTGTTCGTTCGTCCGTTCGTTGGTGTGTTAGTTTGTTCCATCTGCCGTGTGTGTGTCCGTTCATTCGTGTGCTTTTTCGGTCCTGTAATTTGCGTACCGGATTGCGTGGCTCCTGCTGGAGAAGTAACGATCCGCACGTTTTTTCTTTTCTTTTTCCTTATATTTTTTATATATATTTTTTAAATTGTCGCTGTCGTTGTCGTTGTTATTGTTATTATTATTGTTGTTTTTGTTGTTGTTGCTGTTGTTGTTATTATTGTTATTGTTGTTGTTTTGTTGTTGCTGTTGTCGTCGTCGTCGTTGTTGTTGTTGTTGCTGCTGCTGCTGTTGCTGTTGTTGTTTTTAACAATGTCGCTGTTATTTTCCTTGTTTTTGTATGGTAGTAATTATCGTTATTGTTGTTGTTACTTTTGTTTTCAAGGGGAGGTGTCGGTTGTGCGTAATGGGTCTGTGTGGTTTATGAATACTGCTTCATTACCGATAAACTGAATGAAGTGAAATGAAACGAAATGAAAAATAATATCGTGAATGGAGAACCCGTCCCTCTAAATTTGATTATCCGGTAAATAAGATGAGTGAAGTCTGTGTTACAGTTGGGGTTAGGGGAGGAGATGAGGGAATAGGGGGAGTAGGGGGGGTAGGGGTGGGGGTGATGTTTGTGTTAAATTTGGGATTAGGGTGGGAGTGGGTGTGGGCGGTGTTTGTTGAAGTTGGGTAAAGGGAAAGCGGGGAAGGGGCAAGGAGGGGGGTAAGGGGAAGAAGGAAGGGGGGAGGGGGGTAAGGGAAAGAAGGACGGGGGGAGGGGGTAAGGGGAAGAAGGAAGGGGGGAGGGGGTAAGGGGAAGAAGGAAGGGGGGAGGGGGGGTAAAGGGAAGAAGGAAGGGGGGAGGGGGTAAGGGGAAGAAGGAAGGGGGGAGGGGGGTAAGGGAAAGAGGGAAAGGGGGAGGGGGTAAGGGGAAGAAAGAAGGGAGGTTCTCTGTGTTAGAGTTGGGGCTTGGGAAGTGGAGAAAGGGTTAGGGAGTAAAGCGAAGAAGGGGGAGGGGGTGATTTCTCTGATAAAGTTATAGGGAGATAGAGAAGGGAAGGAGAAGGAGGTAGAAAGGGGACGAGGAAGGCAGAAGAGCTGGGTGATGATGTTGTCTGTGTTAAAGTTGGGATCGGGAGATGTTGGTCGAGCATAGGCCTATACGAGATCCAGTTGGAGTTGGAGGCGCTGCTCGATATTAAGTCGGGGAAGTGTTGTGGCTTGTGAGGGGGAAGGAAGGAAGGGGGGAGAGGGGGGAAGGGGGCAAGGAGATAGAGGAGGAGTGCTGAGGAAAGGGAAAGGGTTGGGGGATGGGGAGAAGGGAAGGAAAAAAAGGGGGGAGGGGGACAGGGAGAGGGAGATGGGAGGGAAGGGAGAAGAGCGGAAGAGGATGGCTTGAATATAGGGGGAGGAAAAGGGAGAAAGAAGAAGGAAGGAGAGGAATGGAGAAGGAGGGGGAAGTGAGAGGAAGGGGGGAAGGGGATAGTGGGGTTTGCGTGGTGAGTCGGAATCGCTTTGATGTTGAGGCTTATCGTGGAAGTCTTGGTGGAATTAGTAAAGGATTGGAAAAGGAATAGAGAGAGAGAGAGAGAGAGAGAGAGAGAGAGAGAGAGAGAGAGAGAGAGAGAGAGAGAGAGAGAGAGAGAGAGAGAGAGAGAGAGAGAGGGAGGCAGGCAGGCAGGCAGGCTTCTCTCATTTTCTGCCTCTCTCTCTCTCTCTCTCATAACCCCCTCCCCTCCTTCCTTGTCTCCTTTCCTTCCCTCCTTCCTTCTCTCCTTCCTTCTCTCCTTCCCTTATTACCTCCCACCTTTCTTCCATCCTTCCCCCCTCCCTCCCTCCCTACTTTCCTCCCAACCGCCGTTCTTCACTCTCGCCCTTCCTCCTTCTCCCTGCCTCCCTCCCTCCCTCTATTCTCCCTTTCTCTTCTCTTCTCTCTCTCCCTCTCCCACCCTCTCTCCCTTTCCCACCCTCTCTCCCTCTCTCCCTCTCTCCCTCTCTCTGTCACTGTCTTTCAGCTCCCAAAGGGAAAAGGTAGGCAGTTGACTTCCACTTTTTTTTTCTCTCTCTCTCTTTCCCTTAAGATATTTTTCACATGATTTATCGTTTTACATATCAAGTAATATGCGCGCTTATTTTCGCCTGGGTTGGAGTTGGTATGTTAAGTAGGGGGGGGGAGGGAGGGAGGGAGGAAGAAAGAGGCGGAAGGAGGAAGGAGGAAGGAGGAGGGAGGGGAGAGGGCCAGGGAGGTAGGGAGGTAAGGAGAAAAGGGGTGGATGGATGGGGGAGGGATGAGGGAGAGAGAAAGGGGCGGAAGGGGAGGGAGGGAGGAGGAGGAGGGAGGGAGAGGGAGGCAAGGAAAGAGGGATCTACTGACCGGTTAGCGTAATTGGGTAAGGACAAGGGTGAGGGAAATGGCTTTGGGTAGGTGGAAGGGGAAGGGAAAGGAGGGAGGAGGGAGGAGGAGGGAGGGAGGAGGGAGGAGGAGGGAGGGAGGAGGGAGGAGGGAGGAGGAGGAAGGGGGTTAGCGGGAGAAAGGGAAGGGTGGGCTTTAAAGGGTGAGAAAGGGTGGCGATGACACATGTGCTGGAGTGGACTTTTGAAACATTTAAAGGGCCGCCTTGTTCCCCTGTTGGATGTGTCCACGAGCTGTTCCTGTTCCTGCACGGTGTGGCGTATTGTGAAATGGTGTAGATTCGGTGTGGTGTGGAGGGATGTGGTGTGTTGTGAAGTGGTGTAGATTCGGTGTGGTGTGGAGGGATGTGGTGTGTTGTGAAGTGGTGTAGATTCGGGGTGGTGTGGAGGGATGTGGTGTGTTGTGAAGTGGTGTAGATTCGGTGTGGTGTGGAGGGATGTGGTGTGTTGTGAAGTGGTGTAGATTCGGGGTGGTGTGGAGGGATGTGGTGTGTTGTCAAGTGGTGTAGATTCGGGGTGGTGTGGGGGGGATATGGTGTGTTGTCAAGTGGTGTGGTGTAGCTTGTTATGGTGTGGTGTGTTTTGAAGTGTGGTGTAGCTTGGTATGTTGTGTGTTGTGAAGTGGTGTGGTGTATCTTGGTATGGTGTGATGTTTTATGAAGTGGTGTGGTGTAGCTTGGTATGGTGTGGTGTGTTTTTAAGTGTGGTGTAGCTTGGTATGGTGAGGTGTGTTGTGAAGTGTTGTGGTGTAGCTTGGTATAGTGATGTGTTGTGATTTGTAGAATCCATGTGGTGTGGTGTAGCCTGTTATGGCATATGATTCGACCTAGTATGGTATAGTGAGATGTGTTTCGGTATGGTACAACGTAGTGTTGCTAGATGGTTTCTAGTAGAGTATGATGTGTGTTTTGCAATAGGGAGGCGTGGTGCCATATCCAGTTCGGTATGGTGTGGTATGGTGTTGGTGTGGTGTAGTATGTTAAGGAGAAAGAGATGTAGACAGAAAGAGAAAAGAAAGAGGGAGAAAGGATGACTGTGTGAAATCAGTGAGACAGGTAGTAGATATACACCTGGATGTATAGGTAGATTTTATATAGATTTATAGATTAACACATACTGTAAAAAGCTGTGTAAGTAGGTTGATAGGAAGCTAGATTGATATACAGATAAATATCTATCGATCCATTTATCCATCCATCCACCCATCCACCCATCCACCCACCCATTTATCCATCCACTCGTTTCGTCCATCCATCCGTCCATCAATTCACACACACACACATACATATATACCAATAAACACGCACATGCATATACGCGGATGAATAAATAAACATTAGGTAGCCGGCAGAGAGAGAGAGAGAGAGAGAGAGAGAGAGAGAGAGAGAGAGAGAGAGAGAGAGAGACCGAGACCAAGCGAGAGAAACCGAGAGACCGAGACCGAAAGAGAGAAACCGAGAGACCGAGAGAGAGAAATCGAGAGACCGAGACCAAGAGAGAAAAACCGAGAGACCGAGACCGAAAGAGAGAAACCGTGAGACCGAGATCGAGAGAGAGAAACCGAGAAACCGAGAGACCGAGACCAAGAGAGAAAAACCGAGAGACCGAGACCGAGAGAGAGAAACCGAGAGACCGAGACCGAAAGAGAGAAACCGAGAGACCGAGAGAGAAAAAACCGAAAGACCGAGACCGAGAGAGAGAAACCGAGAGACCGAGACCAAGAGAGAAAAAACCGAGAGACCGAGACCAAGAGAGAAAAAACCGAGAGACCGAGACCGAGAGAGATGCCGCAAGAGCAGCATTAGTTCGCAAAGGGCATCATTAGTCCTACTCTATCGGTATTGATTGTGAGAGCGAGCCACCTGGTGCTGTCAGGGCTGTCAGTAGGCTTTCATTTGGGGGCCGGTCACTTAAAAATAGCCCCGTGATGACGCGGTGATGCCGGACGGCCATGGCGCCGGGGAGGGCTGTCGGACCAGCGAAGGTTGGGGGGTTGGGGGGGGGAGGACGAGGGATGAGGGACAAGGAAGGAGGAGGAGGGGAAGAAAGGAGGAGGGGAAGAAAGGAGGAGGGGAAGAAAGGAGGAGGGGAAGAAAGGAGGAGGAGGAGGAGGAGGGGGGGAAGGGGAAGGAAGGAGGAGGGGAAGGAAGGAGAAAGAGAAGAAGGAGAAGGAGAAGAAGAAGGAGAAGGAGAAGGAGAACGAGAAGAAGAAGAAGGTGATGAGAAAGAAGAAAAAAAAAAGAACAAGAAGAACAAGATGATAATGAAGAACTGGAGAAGAAAGGGGGGGGGGCAGAGAAAGAGAACGGGGGGGCAGCAGCATTAGTAGGAAGGAATCATAACGGATTGGAATGATTAGGGATTGGAATGATAGAGCGAGATACAGTTGGCAGCCGGACAAAGGAAGGTCGTCTTGGAAGATGATAACTCTGCGGCGGGCGCGTGTAACATTTAACTAAGTCGGTGGCAACGTCTCACCAGCCAAGGACCAACATTTCACCAAGGCGGACGTTTTTTTTTTTTCCTCGCTTTTTCTTTTCTTTTTTTTTTCTTTTTCTTTTCTCTTCTTCTCTTTTGTTTGTTTTGTTTTCTTTTGTTTTGTTTTGTTTTCTTTTGTTTTGTTATGTTTTCTTTTTTTCTCGTCTCATCTCTACTTTTCTTTTCTCTACTCTTCTCCTCTTCTCTTCTTTTCTCTTCTCTTCTCTTCTCTTCTCTTCTTTTCTCTTCTCTTCTCTTCTCTTCTTTCTCTTCTCTTCTCTTCTCCTCTTCTTCTCTTCTTTTCTCTTCTCTTCTCTTCTCCTCTTCTTTTCTCTTCTCTTCTCTTCTCCTCTTCTTCTCTTCTTTTCTCTTCTCCTCTTCTTCTCTTCTTTTCTCTTCTCCTCTTCTTCTCTTCTTTTCTCTTCTCTTCTCTCCTCTTCTTTTCTCTTCTCTTCTCTTCTTTTCTCTTCTCTTTTCCTTTCTTTTCTGTTCTTTTGCCAAGATGTGGGGAGTTGCGAGGGGGGCCATAATATCATTTTTTTACGCTACTGTTGAACTTTCGGGTTATTGAAGAGGAAGGAGGGGGGGGGGGAGATTTGGATACACTTTGCATATATTCTAGGATAAGTTATACTTTATTATGGATATACGTCTTTAGTAAGTTTATATGTTGCGTCGAGGATTATGTTGATTGCACAGTTTATAACAGCGCGCCGTTTTTTTTTTTTTATTCCATGGTAAATTAGATGCCCTTTTGTTGCATTGCTACATAAATCAATACTAAAAAAAACTTTAATATTACCAGTTACATTATTCAGTAATGAGGCTTGAAAAAAACGGGTGTCAATAGAAACAAATGTTGAGTTCGGAACTTTATTGTTTTCATTATATCGTTGGTAACGCGCTGTGATAAAGCATCATTATGTCGCGCACTTACTCGTATCATTTTATAATATATATTTTTGTTTAATGTACACTCGTGTTAAGTATCCTTGTGTGCACTTAACAACATAGCATCGGGTAGTACACAGCAGCCATGTACAGCTGGGCTGGACGACCATCGGGGGAATGTCTAAATATTTCATTACACTGGCCGCAGCTCGCTGATTATCGATCCTTCTGCTCCGCTCAATATTCTGTGAAGTGTGGCCCTGTTGGGCTCCTCCCAGCGGCCTTCCTGGGAACTCCGCGGGGGTCCTCTCTAGGGCCGTCGCCGCGCTCAGTCCATGGCTAGGCTAGGCCTCCTTTTTTATGGAGATCTGTTGATGTTTTCACTGCAGTCGTGTTGGAGGGAGTTTATAAGAAGGCCTATGACGTGTAGGGGGGCTCTTTACCCCTGTGTGGTCCCAGGTCTTTGGTCTGTGGACTTTCTGTAGCCTGTGGACATTCCCCGTGGCCTTAAGTTTGGCAGCCTCCCTGTGGCTTTGCCCCGGTTCGTGTGTCAGGCTTCTCCCACGGGCCTTCCTGTGGGACCGATCGAGTCGCCTTTGCTTCGGACGTGCGCCTGTTGGGACGGCGACCCTTGGCGGTCTTTGTTGTGTGCCTGCGGGCGAGCACGGGAATCTTTGCCTGGAGTTCTCTTTGGTTTGCACGGGCTTTAATTTACTCGCCGGGGCTTTGTGCTACAACTAATGACGACGGAAAGTTTGCTTTTCAGACTTGGCCAGGGCGTGGTGTGACTTCGCAAACTTGGGCAGCTCGGAGTTTATCGCGCGTTGTTTGAGATACAGGGTGATTGTTGCTGGGACTTACAAAAATACGCGATCACACACAAGTAACACGCACATGCGAACACGCGCGCGCGCGCACAAACGCACACACGCAAACTCACAAGCAAATGCACGCGCACACACAAGCAAAGAAACACACAAACAAACACACCCAAGCAAAGACACACACACACACAAGCAAAGGCATACACACACAAGCAAAGACACACACACACACAAGCAAACACACACACACACAAGCAAACACACTCACACACAAGCAAACACACTCACACAAGCAAACACACACACACAAGCAAACACACACACACACAAGCAAACACACACACATACACAAGCAAACACACTCACACACACACACACACAAGCAAACACACACATCCATCCATCCATCCATCCATCCATCCATCCACCCACCTCCACCGCCACCTATACATACAAACACACTAGGAAAAAACACCTGTCTAACTTTTATCGCCCATTATTTTTCCTCACATTTTTAGGGTTATCACAATTTTTATCAAGTTATCTCCCGGGTTTATAGCATCGTTAGTAGCGATTTTAATTTCGTAACTCTCATATCCGAAATGACGCCATGTTCCGGCGTTGCGTTAAAGATCCCGTCATGTTATGTGGCCAGCGCCATCGATTTTTTTTTTTACTGTGATTATACAGTTTTGTACCCTCGTGTGTGTTTCATCTTTATTACTGTTTTCTTCGTTATTACATTTCCCCCTCCCCCCCATCGGTTGAGCTTTTGGCGGTGACAATCAACGGCGTGGAACGGCGTGGCGGCGTGTTAGCGATGAAAAATACTCAGCCGTGTGTCAGCCGGCAGCAGTTACGTCAGCCACAATGTGTCTTGTGCATAAGCAATGATCGTAGCGTGATTTGGGTGACGGTGAATCGACCGCGGCTTGAAGCAGTTCATAGATCTTCGTGAAACAGCTCGATTTGACATGAAACAGCTCGTTGTTCCACTTTCAAGTAACTCGTAGATTGAGTGAAAACTGCTCCTTTCGGAAGCTCGCCTCGAAACCGCTCATAGATCGACATGAAACGTCTCATAGATCGACGGGAAATAATCTCGTAGATCAAAACGAAACAGCTCATGAAATAGCTCGTAGATCGACAAGAAACAGCTCATAATTCGAATTGAAACACCTCCTAGATAAATTTGACGTAACGCACAGATCGACTTTGTAACAGCTCGCCTCCAAACGACCCCGTAGATCGATTAGAAATAATTAAATTGGGAACAGGGAACGAGCTCGTAGATCGAAAACCCCCACATACATCAGAATCGGCCAAGCTGTGCAAGGTGTAAAATGGAAAGCTTGTTTTGTTTACCATAGAAGGGTGGGGGGGGTGGGGGGGGAAAGTCAGAGGTGGGGGGGAGGGAGGGCGCGTGCTGCCTTTTAGGGGGGTGGGAGGCCGGCTGTGTGGGGAGGGGGAGTGGGGTGTGAAGGGTTGAGGGTGTAGGGAAGGGGAGGGGATGGGGTAGAGAGATAGGGGGAGGGGGGAGGGATAGGATAGAGAGGAGGAAGGGACGGGGTAGGGAGAGAAGGGGGGGAGGGGGTGGGATTAGAAGAGGGTACAGAGGGAGGGATGGTGGGGGTGGGGGGTACGAGGATAGAGATGGGAATTGGGTAGATGGGTGAGGGTGGGTTGGGGTAGAGGGGAGGACGGTGGGGCTGGGCGGATAGGGGGGTTAGGAAGTTTAAAGGAACGGAGGAGGAGGGGTGGGGGTAGCGGGCGGGGGGGAGGGGTAGATATCGACCACACCTCGCTGGCGATCGATATTATGCTCTATTGTCTACCCTGGGGAATCTGCGGCGCTGAACACACCCACCTACACTATTTGGGCGTCCGCGCGCGCGTTGTGTGTATTTTTCATTTCTTCGTTTCTCCGCTTTTTATCTTTTCGTTCGCTGTTGTTTTATACTTGTTGGGGGTTTCTTCGCTTCTTCGCTGTTCTTCTTTTCGTTCGTTCTTTTTGCGTGTTTTTTTTTTTTTTTTTTTTCTTATTCGCTCCTTTGCTTTTTTTTTTCGTTTGCTCTTGTTACGTACTTTTTCGTTTCTTCACTTTTTCGCTTTTCTTCTTTTTTTTCGTTCTTTTTTCGTGTTTTTTTTTTCCTCTTCGCTTCTTTGCTTTCTTCTTTTCGTTCGCTGATGTTACGAATTTTTTATCGTTTCATCGCTTCCTCGCTTTCTTCTTTTCGTCCGCTCTTGTTACTTGTTTTTATTTCTTCGTCCCTTTGCTTTCTTTTCAAATTCAGTTCTGTCGAAAGGAACGTACTTTTTTATCTGCGAGCGATGGTAATGCGTGCACTAGTGGTAATTTATATTTAATATTTTCTTCCATTTACGACATTTATTATTTTATTTTACTCGTATGTTATCCATCTCTTCTCCCCCCTTCCTCTTTTCTCTCTTCACCCCCCTCAACCCCCCCCCCCCTATGGTTAGACCAGTTCTCGCATATACTTTTCTACTTTCATGATTTATAAATACGGTCGTTCCTGAAATGGCAGTCTCTCTCTTTTCCTCTCACTGTTTCAATTCTTTATCGCTTCCTGTCTACGTGTCTGTGTCAGTTCTCTTTCTCTATTTCTTCATTTTTTCTCTTTCTTTTTCTTATTTTCTGTCATCGTCTTTCTCTTTTTTTCTTATTCTCTCTCTCTCTTTCTCTTTCTCTCTCTCACCCCCTCCCTCCCTCCCTCCCCCTCTCTCCTTCTCTCCTTC